TCAATTAAAAAAAAAAATATTAAATGAAACTAGAAGAATAATAAATAAAGATAAAATACGGCAATTAAATTATAAAAGTATATCAACACTTAGCAATACTAAAAGTAATTCTCAATATGATAAAGATAAACAGAAATCAAAAAAAGAAAAAAAAGATAATAATCCAAAAGTAAAATTAGCAGGAGGTATATTAGGTAGCTTTTTAATATGCTCTTTTGCATATTTAATTATTTTATTTAAAAATAAAAATGAGGAAGACGATATTGAAACAAGTGAAACTGCTGAAGAATTTGAAAATGGAAATCCATTAAGTTATCTAAATATGGATGAAGAAGTTATTGAAGTGTCCTTTTTTAGAGATGAAAGTCTTTAGTATGGAAATTAAGGCCTATTTTTCATCTTTAAATTATTCTAATCTTTAATTATTTTTTTTTGTATATTTACATTCATTTTATGCAATATATTTTGGATTTTGCTCTTGTTTCCTTTCTACTATTATATATGTAAAATTTTTCAATTCTTTTTTTATTCTAATATTGGTCTATAAATAGTAATATTGGCTTGTTTTAAATTATATTTAAATAGAGCAAAAACACTTTTATTTATACATGTTAAAATGAAAGAAAAGTATGCATGCATAAACGCATACAATAAAAAAAATATAGATATATTTTATTATATATATTTTTTTTTTTTTTTTGATAATAAAAAAAAGAGAATTATTAATTTTTTTTTTGATAAAGATAAAATATTTTTTTTATGAAAGATTAAGAGTATAATGTGAGATGCAATATATATGGGATATTATATAAATTAGCATCCATAGCAATTAGATAATACAATTAATGTTCAATATTATTTAATAAAAGTTAATAATTTGATTAGCATTTTAATTAAACGAAAATAAAATAAGTAGAGCTTTCTTTATATGCACTTTATTTAATTGTTTGTTCAATACTAATAGTCACTGAATGAGTAACTAATATATCATATATTATATTTCCTTTTAATTGTAATAATCTTTGTTATTTTTTGAAGAGGATATTTTTATGTTTTATTTAATGTCATATATTCGTTTAAATTTTAATTATTCCTAATAAATGTTTAGTATTTATACAAATAAATACATTTAGTTTATAAAATTATTATTGATGTTATTTTAAAATTTTAAAAGAATTAGAAAAAGTAAAATAAGATATACTAGAATCATTTAATACAGTAGTTGGTTAAGTCCTCATTTAACTAATGATAAATAATTATTATTATAGACCTATTTTTTAATTACAGTTGGAATAAATATAAAGTATATGTTTTACTTATGCATATGAGATATGTGAGTAAAACATGACATGAACATGTGTACATTAGAGAATACTCATTTTAAACATTGAATTCATATAATGTGTACATCAAATTACGTGTTCTTGTACGTAAACAATAATTTTTTTAACTTTTTTTGTTCTTACAAAAAATATGAATTTCTTTATAATTTTTTTTTGAGAGAGGAAATTAATTATCATGTTCATATTGAATAGTGCAACATGTGCTAAAGCATAATAAGGTTATACATAATATTAATTATATATTGTATTTGCTGACCCAAATTAAAAATAAATAGGAAAATTGATATTGATTGATTATTAAAAATAATATAGATATAATAAAAATTTATTTTAAAATTAAAAATAAGTTTTGTGTTAAATTAAACAATATAATGTGTAATTAATTATTATTAATAATAATTAATGTTATAACAAAATAAAAATATATCAACCTATATGCTCTTTATTAATTTGACCCTTTTAAATACTGTAAAAATTTTCGAATTGTTAATAAAACAATATGTTCTAATGAAAAAACGATATGTAATTTATTCGTTTTTTGCTTTTTAAGATTAATATATATATATATTAATAATTTTTTTTATAATTGAGAATTAAACAAATTTACAGATATATATAGGATTGATTAATAAAAGGCTTTATTAACCTTTTTGAAAAATAAAAGGACTAGTTATATGAAGAATACGTAGTTGGTCATGCATACACAAAAAAAAAAAAAAAAAAAAGAAAAAGAAATTTTTTTTTTAAGATAGTATGATTTAATTAATTTTGTAAGAAAAAATTTTATACATATAATAATAAAATTTTTACGTAATTAATATTTATATAATTAATTTGTATTGTCATTAATTGTTTATGTTTGTTAATTCAACACCAATATATATTAATTGCTGAACATAACTCATAACAAAAAAACAAGTAATATACATTTAATTAATGGTCAATATTCAATAAGGATTTTAATTTCTAATAAAAATAAAGATTTTTATTAAAGTATATAAATGCCTATTGAAATTAAAGAATGCCGAACGAAGTAGATCACATAATTAAGGATCACTCGTTCAAAGCATTTAAAAATATATATAAATACATCAAAACCGTAGAGTTAACTCTACATGCTCTTTATTAATTTGTTTGTTCAGTACTCTAGCAAAGTCACCGAACATCCAGTTAATAAATCAAGTATTGAATAATCAGATTAATAGAGAGCATTAGAATTACCTCTACTAATTTAATTAAGTATAATTTTAATGCTATATACCAGTAAACTGCATTTATATGGTGTACTTCATTCAGCAATTACTATTTTTGAGAGATATTATTTGCTTTAATAAAAATTCCCATTTTTTTTAAAAATCTAAACTTTCATTAATTGTTGATTTTAATTACATATATATTATTTACAATGTTATGAATGATGTTTAACAATTGCAACACAATGATTTCAAATTAACAAACATAAATAATTAACAGAATACAAAATAAATTGTATAAATACTATAAAATACAAAATTTTATTATCATTAACATAAAATTTTCTTACATGAATTTAAAAATAAATATACTACAAAAAACTTTTTAGTTAACATCTTTTCTTTTTTTAATTTTCCAAAAATTAAATCACTTTAAAAAAAATATATATTTTCTTTTATGCATTTAAAAATTACAAAAGGAAAACAAAAAAAATTAACAGATTTTTTCCTTTACTTAGCATGTGTATGACTAACTAATTATTTTTTATATTACTATTATTTTGTATTCTCTAAAAGGTTATTAATTAATATCTTTTATTACCCAATTTGAAACAAAAATAAATTTTTTGCAGCAAATTTTGATAAGAAATAAAAGTAAAATCTTAAAAACATATTTAGCAAAAAAAACAAACAAAAATAAAAAAAAGTATTTTTTTTAATTAGTAAATGTGCATGTCTACCTTATTTTTCTACATGTTTATAACTATTCACGAATAGTTAATGCCTTTTATTAAATAATACATTAAAAAAAATTATATGTCCTTTTTTTAATTATGTATAAATGAATATATTTAATACTTACGAATAAGACAAAATAAATTAAATAATGAATTAAACTAAGAGATTATGAAAAATTATAATAATTTAGTGTTGTATTTTTATTAAAAATATAATATATTTTTTTTTGTTACTGTTTTATTTGTCCAACCAACATTAAATAAAAAGTTTATATGAAAGAATAAATAATTAAAAAGATGAAGCAATATATTAAGGCAAGAATTCATTATAAAAGTTCTAAGCACGTAATTTAATGAATTGAATATTTTTCCGCTAACATTCTAAATACATTTATTAATTTTATTCTTGATTATTAATTAATGGCATATAATCTTTTTTTTTATTTTTAAAAATGGATTTATAAAAAGTGGGAACATTTTTGCAATTTGAGGGGTACCATTCATCCTTACATTTTTTTATATATTTCATAAACCATTCTTCTAATATATTACAAAGCTTAGACAACTCTTTTCTTTTCTTCTCGAAATATTTATAGCACTCTTTATCATTATGACGACTTACCCATATTGGTATATACTCTGCAAGAACTTCCTCATGGAAACTTTTTATATCATCAGATATTTTATTATACCATTGATCGAAATGTTCTACTTCCCACTCTCTTTCATATGAAGAAAATTTTTTTCTTAAATCATTGCATAAATTTTGCCAATCAGATAACATTCTTTCTATGAGTGCACCTGTTTTAATATTAAAATGAATACTATATATTCCATATGGATTATCCATCTTTAAAATTTTATTTTTAATTTCTTCTTCTTCTTCTGCTAGAATTCTCAAATATTCTTTATTAAATTTTATTATGGAAACTGATTGGCTTTTTTGATTGAATAAACACTAAAATAAAGTTCAAAAATTGAAGCATTAAAAAGTATACTTAGATTAATATAATTTTAATACATGTAAACTTTATCTTATAAATATTTATGAAAATGGGTGCGAATTTAATTTGAATCTAAACTTACTTCTAAAAGAATACAAAAAAGAACAAAATACAACAAAATAATGAGTTTGAATTGAACACGAACTATGCTTCCCTTCTTTTTAGTTGTTCCTCCTTTATGTATATATGGATATATAGGATAATTTTTCATTGTTATATTATTCAAATTTAAAAGCCTTTTTCTTAAATTACTAATTTATCTTATAAAATATGTTATATTAAATGCTATATTTTTAAAAACTAAAAAGTATTATTTCAAATTAAAAACTATACTCAATATATTTTTATTAAGAATTATCATTTATAATTAAAAGCATTGGACAACACTGAGTTGTTTTCATTGTTCTCCTGAGTCTTCTGGGATATGAAAATTATTCATTGACACAACAAGTTATTGCCTCTTAATCAGTAATATTCAATGTGAAAAAAAATATAAAAAAATAGTAAAACAATTCCTCT